CAACCTATTCCTTTGTGGCTAGCCCGTTTTCGATAGACCCTCGGCCAGAGAACGGATGAAAAAAATAATGGCAACAAGTAGGAATAACAACAAGATAAAAACAAGACCGAAGCCAAGAAAGCAGCTACACTCTAGGTACTAATATCAATTAATGAATAAAAGGATATCATACTAACACTAGCGAACTAAGACAAAGAGAAACATTCGACTACCTACTAGCCTTCTACCCTAATCTTTGACATCCATACCCTTCTATCTAGGGCCATGTCCTCAGTCAGCTCCAGCTGCGCCATGTCCTGCCTGATCACCTCTCCCCAAGACTTCTTAGGGCTACCTCTACCCCGCCTGATCACCTCTCCCCGAGAATTCTTAGGCCTGCCTCTACCCCGCATGATACCCACTAAGGCTAACCTCTCGCACCTTCTAACTGGACTTTTATGCTTCTCCTTTTAACATGCCCGAACCATCTCAACCTCGCCTCTCGGCTCTCGCATCTTATCCTCCACATGGGCCACTCCCACCTTATTCCGAATAACTTCATTCCTAATCTTATCTAACCTGGTATGCTCACGCATCCACCTTAACATCCTCATCTCAGTTACTTTCATCTTCTGGACATTAGAGTTCTTGACAAACCAACACTCTGCTCCATACAACATAGTTGGTCTAATTACTACCTTGTAGAACTTACCTTTAAGTCTCAGCGGCACATTCTTATCACACAAGACACCGGAAGCGAGCCTCCACTTCATCCATCTTGCTCTGATACGGTGCATGACATCCTCATCAATCTCCTCGTTACCTTGTACTATAGATCCAAGGTACTTGAAACTCTGTCTCCTGGGGATGACCTGTGTATCAAGCCTTACACCCATGTCCGCTTCCTCAGTAACTTCGCTAAACTTGCACTCCAAGTACTCCGTCTTGGTCTTGCTCAGCTTGAAATCTTTAGACTCAAAAGTCTGTCTCCAGTCCGTCATCAACACCTCCTTGAGTCTCGTCAATCCGAACTATATCATCCGCAAATAACATACACCACGACACTTCCCATTGAATATGTCATGTTAGTGCATCCGTTGCCAACGAAAACAAAAACAGGCTAAGGGTTGGTCTCTGATGCAACCCCATCACAACCGAAACACCCAACTCAAATAACCATATTCATAATTCAATTAAGTAGACCCAACCACATAAACCAAAATAACCAGGATCGAAAAATCACCTAACAATTCATGAATTATGTTCCGGTGTTCTAACAACGATTCAGAATACTTAATCATGCATCCTGAATTGTTATCTATTTGTCTTACTATTTAGTACCCCAGTCATTTTTGTTTATCATTTAAATTTTTCACATACCCATTAAAAAATTGTTTAATAACATTAATCATTTGGGGTATTCAATTAAATTAGCATGATTTCTTTGTTAAAAGAATAAGTAATTATGATTGTATGCCTTCTTGGTGTAGCAAGGGTAGAATTGGAAAAAATATGTTAATGTTTTCTTGGTTATCTTAAAGCATTAAACAGCATGGAACAATTTTTTTTGGCTAAAGTGACGTATAAAAAGGTCAGGAGGGACAACAGAGTAACAATTTTTTTCTTGAAACCCAACTCCATATAAATAATGTGTATATATACAACCCAAACATCATGGCATGGTCAATTATCTCTTAACTTAGTAATGTTTAGGCTCTTTCCAATGCAACTAATGATAGTACTTTATATTGTCTCCACAATAAAAAGTGGACGAACGGCTAAGACTGGACCCTGCATGGTGGATTCACAATCCAATGCCTTGATCCATTTGACTACATCAGCCCTTACACCTTCACATGTTAAAGTCTCAAATTTGATTCTCTATTACCCAATAATGTGAATTTAATATGGTTATAGCAAATTGTTTGAACTCTAGACGTAGCACACCAGTTTGCACGCATCTCATCGGGTAACCTTGTGCAACTTTTTTGCCTTTGATTGATGTGATTTAAACTTTGATCTTTCATGGTCTTCATTTCTCTTTATCTACCCCTAAGCCACATGCTTGGATGCTCCTCTAATCTTTTTTCAGTAATTTTACTACTTAGCTTCTCTTGTTTAAATATCACAAATGATCTTCAGGACCTACTCCTAGTGGATTAGTTTATAATTAGGCTGCAATTGCAAACTTGTTGCTTTTCCGGGAACTAAAACGATCTAGTACGCAAAAAAATTAATTGAAATTGCATACACATAGGAAAAGGATGCATCAAATTTACATGACACTATTTTTTATTAGTCCGTTCCAGAAAGCATGACACGTTTCTATACTAACTAACAATTTAAGTTTAAACTTTCCATTTGACCCTAAATGAGAAGCTTTTATAGCTGTATAAATGTTGTGACCTGTTTATGCTAACAAATTTCAAATTTTTTAGTAATTTCTTTCTTAAAGTCCATTTTGAGTCAAACTCAATCACATAAATTGAAACTAAGGGAATAATAAGAAGGTGAAGAATTAAATAATACCTGTGAGGTAGTTGAGGTGGGAGCAGAAGAATCAGGCAAATTGCGACCAAATTGCTGCCCAAAAGAAGGCGGGGGCGGAGTCAATGAGGAGAAAGAGGTAGGAGGGTGATGAGCAGGTACTCCCATGGCCATTCCTCCAACTCCTCTAGGGTTTTGCATAGAAACCGACGAAGACGAAGAAGTAATCGAAGATGATGATGGTGATGATGAGTGAGGTGGCGGCGGTGGTGGCGGAGGAGGTAAAGAGAAGTGTTGAAAAGGTGAAGGCTGTTGCCATGGCCGATTAAAGGGTTGTCTTGTTTGAGCATTTTGTAAAGTGGGTGTTAAAGGGTTTTGCTGTTGAGTAGATGTGGCGGCTGCAGCTGCGGCGGCGGTAGTGGTGATAGTGGTGGTGGTAGGGTTCAGGTTTTGTGGTGGTTGTGATTGTACTACTGAGGTAGTGGTTGTTGTAGTAGACGGGAGTTGACTGGTTGCGGCGGTGGCGGCGGCGGACGAAGGTGGTGGAGATGGTGGTGGAAGCTGTTGTTGTTGTTCAGCTGGCTGTGAAGTGGACGTCGACGGCGACGGAGTTGGCGGCGGCGGAGTCGGCGGTGGTTGAGTTTGCTCCATTGGAGTAAATATTTTCTTGATTTCCTATGATTAATAGACGGGGAATGATTATATATAAATGATTAGGCTGATAATATAAGGTTTTCAATTTAATCTCACTTATTTAAGCTGAGATGAGAATTGGCTTAGGAATTAGGACTTGAAGCTGAGTACTCGTGCCAAATGTTGGTAGTAGTTGTGATTTCAATTTAAACCTCGAGATTTTTATAATTATGTTTTAATTACTAGAAAAAATAGTATAATTGTTGTCAAGTTTTGACTTATTTACTTTTTCTATAGCCATATCAATGCTCGAGTGAGCAACTATTACAGTTAAAGAATCGGAAAAATTGAATATTGTTACTTTCCATTAACACAAATATCTCGATTATTTCATCGGATTTTGTTATCTATTGCCAGCACATCGTTTAATCCATAAACACACGCAATTTCATTTCCAACTAATACCACTCGACTGATCTCATCCACTTGAAAATTGATGTAAGAGTTGCTAATTCGATTTCTAATAAACTCTTGAGTTTTGTAGCTCCGTGAGAAAGTTCCATAATTCAATTAAAGATAAAGCTCTATAACTCAATTAAAAATAGATAAGGGAGAATGCCGCTTTAAAAAATTCAACGTACTTAGTAAGTTAAGACACCCTTTGCACGGCGAATAATGTAATATAATAATATAATCTATTGCCAGCAAGCATCAAATAGTAGTACAGCTAAATAAATGAGAAGAAATCACTAATACTTTTATTTCTCTTAAAATTTGAACTTTGATCTATAAAAATTGCACTTACTTCATTGACAATTAGATCAGTAATAACAACATAGGAAAGAAACTATACTAGTAAAGAAGTCATGAAAAAAGTAGAAATAACAACAAGATACAAAAATTAAAGCAGAAAAAATATTATGTAGCAATAGAGATCTAGGAATAAAAAAATATGAGAATAATACTAGCGTTATTGGTCAGAAGCAAGCAGAGTAAAAGGCGGGTAAAACTCAAATAAGCAGAGGGGGAGACACATTCATGAAAAGCAAGAATCCCTGCCGTGGGACGCCTACCCCAGCTCGGTCGGTCAGTTAGCCCACCTAACAAATGATGAGATTCTCGATCGATATGATCGAATTTCAAAAAGTCTTTCTCACTATTCAGAACAGTGGAGCTTTCGAAGGAAAAATCTCGACAAAGATGATCTCAATGAAAGACAAAGTAGAAACTAATCCAAAGTTGGAATTAATCAGAAATAGTGTGTAAAGTAGGGGTGTACATGGACCGGGTTGGTTCAGTTTTTATCAAAACCAAACCAAACCAACTATATTGGTTTGGATTGGTTCGGTTTTGTCGAGTTTTTCGGGTTTTCAGGTGTTTTTTGTTACATGAATATTATTTCAATCTTACTTTGTTAAAATTATAGATAAAACTTTGATAAGTGAATATATGTTTCGTAAATATGGAAAAAAATGACAAACATATGATCTATTAAAATATTCTAATGGGAGAAATTTTTTAGTAACACATGATAGTTATTTTCTTAGTCGTCTAACAATAATTTTTCGTTAATTTACGCTTTCAAAGTTAATACATGAGAGGATCCCAAATATTTCTACATTTTCTAAAGAAAATTCACTATAAAGTCTTAAAAATATAAATAAAATTTATATATTTATATGTCGGTTTGGTTCGGATTATTTTACTCAATACCAAACCAAGTCAAACCAAACCTAGTCAAATTTTTTAATCGGTTTGGTTTGGTTTTTCGGTTTGGTGCGATTTTCCGGTTCGATTTGAACACCCCTGGTGTAAAGTATTCTAAACTACATTCTAGATATGGTATACTAAGAACCAAGACTATAATCCTATTAACCCTAAACTGCTAAAAACTAAAGTTTTCAGAAGTATGTACTTTGAGCTTGTACAGCAACAGGACTTCTAACCCTATGAACATTATTAAACCAAGTATAGCTTCCAAAAACATCCTTGTTTAATGGTTGCAAAGGAGTGATGTCCACTCGGAACGTTACTTTACTTCCATCGCGTTGAAAGCTTACGGTACTCGGCTTCACTTGTATTGAAATTCCTTCAGGATTTTCTATCTCGACTTGAAAATCAATAGGATCGTCATATTTTCTTCGATAAGTGACTGTACGATAAACCGATATCGTCTGATTTCTCAAATTTGAAACTTCGATCGAGGGGTAGTTAAGATCATAATGTGCAAGGTGATTATTATTAGAGCACTCAATTTGATATCCCAATAAACCTTGTAATGTTCTTTGAGTGATTCCAACTGTCCAACAGCACTAGAACATAGATAGGAAACTATATCTTCCATGTTGAAATCATAAACCAGGCCTGGATTTAGTGCAGCATTTGGGTTCAATAAACCTGAACCAATGTCATAAGGTGTTGCAATAACATTCCCTGAATCTGTTTGTATTGGATTCTTAGCATTGTCCAAGTTATAAGCTGCATAAGACAAATCATATTGTTAAAGATCAAATATGAGACACCAACCTTAGAATTTCAAAATCATGAAAAAGAATTTTCAAAGGAATTGTTTAAGTTAATAAACAAGTTTCGCACTATGAAAGGGTGCGATAGAATGGTCGGAATCCCTCTACCCTTAACAAAAGCTCGCTGGCCTGATGATATGGTGTCCATCTCATTCAAATGATTTGATAGCCAATTTTGTTACTTGGTTTGGTTTGGTAGCCAACCTTGTTGAATTTGTATAATTTGGTAGCCAATTTTATTGACTTGGTTTGGTTTGGTAGCCAACTTTGTTGAAATTATGAAAAGGGTGTGTAAATTGTCAAATATTGTAGGCTTTAGAGAGTGAGGTTTTAGCTATAAAAGGAGAGCTTTAACTCTTATTTCTACACACCAACAAAGAGAGAAAAGAGAGAGCAAGGTATTCCATAAACTATAAGAAAATAGTTTGTGAAGAAAAATAGAGTGTGAGAGATATTGTAGTGAAGTGGAAAAAGCAAAAGAGTGTTTATTTCTTTTGAGGGTGTAGTGGTCTTAGGAGTATTTTATACTCGTTACTACACAGTGTAAAATTCCTCGCTATAGTGATATCAGTTGCTCTTCTTGGCCGTGGTTTTTTCCCTTATTCAGAAGGGTTTCCACGTAAAATCTTGGTGTCATTATTGCTGCATTTCTATTCTTACTGATTTAACCATAACTTAGTGTTCTGCGTTTATCACTAATACCGTGAATACTATTTTTACGGGGTTTATTCCCAACACCTGATGCATGCCATAGTGGGCCTATATGGCATGCATCAGGCCAGTGAGCTTCAAATTTCGAGTGGTTACAAAAATAATAACAAGGGCTTTTAATACATTTGGCCAGATGGCTAAAAATAATTACAACCGCTATCCAGACAAGAAAGGTTGCTCTGATGGTAAGCAATCTTCACTTCCAACCAAGAGGTTGTGAGTTCGAGTCTTCCAAATAGCAAGGTGGGAAGTTCTTGGAGGGAAGGATGTCGGGGGTCTATTTGGAAACAGCCTCTCTACCCCAGGGTAGGGGTAAGGTTTGCGTACACATTACACTTCCCAGACCCCACTAAGTGGGATTATACTGGGTTGTTGTTGTTGTTGTTGTTGTTGTTGTATCCAGATTTAGGAAAAATATATACTTATTCTATATAAAATACATACATTATATATTAATATATGCAAAATATACATTTTGTGGAGCCGGCTATACCGTGTATATTTCCGTAATAACTACTCCTTAATCCCAAAATAATTGGAATCGGCCATATGAATCCTTTTTGACTCGCCCATTTAAACTCGTCTCATGCCAATAGCAATATCGGATAGTTAAACTTAAAAAGTCAAGTTTAGTCTATCATATCCATTTTTTTTTTGCTTCAAGTATTAGGAATCCGAAACTTACGAGCCCGACTAATTTTGATTCGAGCCGTGCCGAGTAAGAGCTTGTCAACTACTTGAAACTTGTTTTTTAACATTAGTAAAGAATACATACCTGTTGTCATCAATGCAGATTTTATTTCAGCTGGACTCCAATGAGGATAAAGAGCTTTTAGAAGTGCAGCCACACCAGTAACATGAGGAGTTGCCATTGAAGTTCCTGACATTATATCATAGAATATCGAGTCTGCTCTCGCCTTTTCAAAAGGAGGCCAAGCTGCTAAAATGTTTCTTCCTGGTGCTGCTAAATCAGGCTATAACAAAACTAGTGTCAGCACTTCGATTTAACAGAGGCGGAGCCAGAATTTGAAGTTTATGAGTTTTGAACTTGCTGCAAATCCATCGAACACATTAAAGTAACTCGATTCGTAATTAAATATTTATTCATATATAGTCGGACCTCTATATAATGTCATCTTCTATAACAACCAGGGGCAAAGCCACCTTTGTATAAGGGTGGTCACCGGAATATAACGAAAAATTACACTGTGTATATAAGTAAAATATTTATTTTAGATGTGTAAAAATATATTGAACACCCTTTGTCGGGAATTTTTTTTAGTTCTTTCAAGTCTGAACACCCTTGGAAATATTTCTAGCTTCGCCACTGATAACAACACTTCACTATAACTCCGAAAATACAGAAACAAAGAAATTCCATGATCGAACACCAAAAGAAAATAGAATGGACTAGAAATTGGAGCTCTAAATGATTCATTTTGGACTCAAAAGCTTTGCGGTTCTTATAGATCTAATTCATTGAATTCCATTCAGTAAAATGGAAAAACGTCGCGTGGAAAGTCTTGCTTACTATCTCCTCCATCTAAGTTATGTAAGAGAAAAAGAGCGAAAAGCACGGCCAAGTTTTCTTTGGAACCAATTTTTCATATTATGTTATAATATATATTTTCTATAACAACATTTCACTATAGTAGCTAAAAAATATCGGAACAAAAGAGACTGTTATAGAGAGATTTGACGGTATGGTTAATTTTCTAGTACAAATATATTGTCTGATCCTGTAGTATTGGTACGCAGTACCGTAACTCCGCCCCTAGATACAAAATATTTTTATAAAAAAGAAATGAATATTTTAAAAGGAAAAAAAAAGTACCTTAATGATCCCAGGGGCACTACCAGGTCCTCTTGAAGAGAAATATGCCACAGTTGGCTCATGTTGTGTAGGCTGTTGAACTGATGTTCTTAAAATGATAGCAAAAGGTCGACTGTGTATACATTCAAAAACATATCATAAATTCAAACCATTAATAAGTTAGTAGTGTGATAATTCTTAGCGACTCTAAAATAATGACGAAGTCAGAAATTTCGCTAAGGATGCTTAATTTAAGAAGTACTCAAAATTTTAATATATACATATATAACAACTAATATTGACCTATGTCTAATCATGGTGTTCAACTAATTACCCTTGAGCCTATGCAGAGTCGGACCAGGATTTGAAAGTGGCGGGGGTACCACTATCGAATAAAATTTGAGCAAATGCTGGAATGGGAATCAAACACAGACAATGCACTAAAAGTCAAGTTGTCTCCCCTTCCCTCTCCCAAATCGGCCAATGCAGCTACCTAAGCTTTGAGGCTCGAGTGTCAATAAAAATATATACATATTATTTAAGATATATATACATAGATACACACATTTTTGTAAAATTGCCCAAGGCTGGTGACCCCCTACCCTAAGGTAAGTCCACCTCTTAGCCTATGTGGCCACATCGGCAAAGGATGTTCAAGATTTTAATATATGTTCAAAAAGCAAAGACTAATGTAAATTAAAATGAAAGATTTTAGTGTTATATGACTTACTTTGATGATTTCATGTATGCAAAAAGCTTTTCACCTTCTGAGGGAGTAATTGTAGCCAAAGGAATATCATAAGACAAACCAATTTCCTTAGTACCACCTCCATCAATAACTATAACACCAACTCCCCCTTTTTGGCGTACATTTACGCTTTATCATCCTTTGAACTGCCCCAAATATCATGAATATCCGTTGTTGTGCAAACCACAATCTTTCCATAAATCAAATTATAATCCAATGCATCTGCATCATTGCAAGAGCTAGAAAAAAAAATATTAGTTATTAGAAAGAATACCACACGGTGTAAATATTTAACACAAAAAGGAGCAGTTTGATTCATGAGGTATTCCGTGTTCACATAGGATCAAGAAAAGGGTTGCGCTCACGGTGTAAATATTTAACATAAAAAGGCCAGTCCGGTACACAAAGTATTACGCGTTCACCGCAGGGTCATGAGAAGGACTGCTTTCACAGTGTAAGTATTTAACATAAAAAGGGTAATCGGTGCACGAACCATCCCGCGTTTCACGCAGAGTCAGAAGAAGGGCCGCATTCATGGTGTAAATATTTAACATAAAAAAGACAGCCCGGTGCACAAAGCATCTCGCATTCACCGCAGGGTCAGGAGAAGGGCCGCATTCACGGTGTAAATATTTAATATAAAAGGACAAACCAATACACAAAACATTCTGCGTTCACGCAGGGATAGGAGAATGGTTGTGTTCTCGGTGTAAATATTTAACATAACAAAAAAAAATAAAGTTAATTACCTTGCTTTGTCAATATAGGCATTACCAATTGCTGCATCTTTTGCAACAACAAGGTTTGCATAACCAGTCATCTAATTAATATTGCGTGCATAACCCTAAAATTAAAGTCGGCAAAAAAAAAATCAAAATGAAGAAAAGAAAAATCCAAAGGAGAAAAAATTTAATTTCCATCACCTATGGCATAAGTTAACATTGATATGTCTGTTAAAGTCAGAAGATGTCCCACAAATATTATGACACGTTTAGGACTACAAGTCTCATAAGTATTATAGGAACACAAATATTATACCAATATATTTACGATCACAAGCTTTAAAAGTCCATGTCTTTCTTAAACTCCATTTTGAGGTATGACTACATGACATTAATTGAAAACGAGGGAATATATTTTATAACCCCATCTATGTGTGGGGTGGGGTGGGGTGGGGGTAGGGGTTGATATTGGAAAGGTCAAAATAGGTTGAGTTGGCAGGGGGCTGAGACGGGTTGAGTCAAAAAGGGATAAAATTTGGCATAGCCTAATCCCTCCAACTCTAAACAAGCTTTAATTAATATGTTTGTTTTCTTATTGTTATATATAACCTATCAAATAAAACAAATGTTTTTTAAGATATTCTAGCAAAGTTACTCATGGATCAATTTGAGCTAAAAATCAGCCTAACTTTAAATGCATTGAGATGAGCTGTGTTCAGAGACGGAGTCAGAATTTAAAGTTTATGGGTTTCTGAACTTGTAACCGTACTCATAACTCATTAGTTACAGGGTTCGCAATTAAGTATTTATACATTAAATTTTCTAATGCAAATACATGATCTCAGCAAAAAGTTACTGGGTTCGTCAGAACAATTGCACCAATAGAGTCAACATGCTTTGTAAGTAGCTAATCTTGCTTTTGGGGCTCCCCCTCTCATAATGTCGCCGGTGCCGTCGTTTAACGACACCGGTGCTCCCACGGCGGTAGACGCCGTGTGTGTACCGTGACCAAAATCATCACGGGCAGACATGTAATATCGATGATTTAATGAACTTATAGGCGGCCTTGCGCCTTCTCAAATCCTTGATAATAATAACGAGCACCAATAATTTTACTGCATACACAAATGAAATAGGAATATAAGTTCTTTTGGTGTAGTATAAAATGTGAGGATTAAATTTCTTAGTCAAAATTTTGGATGAATCACATATACTAGGGAAGCCATAAAATTCAATATTTTGATAATAAGGGTGTTGAAAATCTATTTTTTGATTAATAATAAGTAACATTTTAGCCTATACACAATATAATTTTTCGGCGAAGCTTGTTCGATCACTTGACCAAGCATAGCTTCGCCCCTAATCACACATGCATACCCACACTATGTATATAATATTATTAAACATCTTTCACTTTTTAAAGACACGTGAAAATGGTACTTTTATCATGTCTTAACATTAGTCGTTTTGGCAAATTAAAATTAATTTAAAAATATGACATTTTAGAAAAATAATACTCCCATATAGGAGCATTTTAGGTTTTTTTTTGTGTGTGTATTTGTGTGTGTGGAGGGGGGGGAATTCACACATATTGCTCCAATTGGTATATAAATATTAAGTTAGATGTTTAAGAGAGATAAAGGATAGTTTAGACAAATACTCCTATCAGTGGAGTACACAGGATTTTTCATAAGTGGTGTCACTATTTTTGGTAAAAAAGCCGTAACAGTCAAAAAATATTTTGTGGAGCCAAAGGAGTTTGAACCCAAGACCTCTCACAAGTTAACAACCACTACACTACTAAGATATTTTGTTGCAAGCGGTGTCACTTTTAATAGTTTTATCTTGTATTTCTGTTTTACTTATTATTTTTATATATATAAATAGTAAAAATTTTCGACGAAGCGGTGTCACCATGTAAATCCGTCCGACTCCTATATTACTAAAGGTATCAAATACTTACAAGATATATAGTGCATGAAAATCTTAAAAGACAAATAATATTAAACGATGATTGTGTGCGGAAATTTCAAAAGACAGATAATATGAACCGAAGACAGTATTAATTTCTTACCGAGTGCATTGAACATCGTCATCCCAACATCCACCCCTCCATCATGATGGCACGGGTCCAAGTCCTTCCGCGCTAAAACTAGGTGCCTCGGGCCAAATTCCTGTTAAAAGATGAAAATAATCATGTTATGACATAGTTCTTTAAAATTCTATGAAAACAGCCACTAATGCTTTCATTAGGATAAGTTGTCTATATCACGTCCCAAGGGTGTGGTTCTTCCCTCGACCTTGCGTGAACGTAAAATACCTTGTGCATAGGGTTGTCCTTTATAGTTCTTTAAAACGATGAACATTATAATTTAGACAAATTAAGCAGAACAAATTAAATATGGCATATATAAATACATACCAGAATCAATATCACCAACAATTACTTCGTAGTCTCCTTGAATAGCAGTAGCACCAAATATACTATTGGCTGGGGCACCCAAAAAGTCCCAAGATCTCGTATTTTGAAGGTAATACGTTTTACTCTCGAAAACAGCAGCAACAGACTCTTTTCCTTTAATTATAAAAACATATAGTAATAAATATATTATTTAACTTCTAGTACAAAACTATAGATAATGTGTCGTTTTATGACGTCATGCATATAATTTAAATTCATTAATTATATTTTTTTATAAATAAAAGACATGCTAAAGAAACTTACTTGAGATTTCAGCTGCCTGCTTAGGTGTAAGCATTGCAGAAAATCCTCTAAAAGTTTTGTGATAGTGGTGAATAATAGCATTACGAGCATGATGTATATTTGAAAAATAAAAAAATACAATTTGTTAATTATATTTTAACTAAGAAAAAAATTAAAAATAAAACAGAAAATTAATATGAAATTTACCTTCCAATTACAGAGGCTAATATATCATGGTTAGAATCAATTACTGATTGCTCGTTCAGAAATGAGTGCTTGCCCATGTAGACAATGTATTGCTACAAAATTAAGAAGAAGAAAAAACAACAACATAATTAGAAAACCTATTTATGATTAGATCCAAGAGTTGAATTTGGTGGCTTCAATATTTAAAGTTTTTAATCAACACTAAATTTGTTATACTTTTTGAAATTATAGGTAACAAATTTAATAATTTTAGAAAGAAAAAAAAAANGCCTAAAAAATATACAATTTAGAGAAAGGGTTTAAACTTTTAAGTTTTACGTACTAACTTTATAACAATTATCTACACTATCAATATAGTTTATAACACTACTAAAAAAGGCCCATTTCGGGCCGAAATATTCCGACCGAAAAAAGTAGTCGGAAATTCTGACGGAATCGGTCAAAAAATGCATAAAAATATATTTTTCAATTTTTAATAATAATTACGACTGATATTCCGTCCATATATGTCGTAAATTTTGGCGAAAAATTCCGCATACCTTTTAGCAACCAATTCTGTAACTGGTTACAGAAAAAGAAAACACAACAAGAAAAGGGAAAAAACTAGTTTAGCTTTTATTCTTTTTTCTAACGTGCCGATTGTTTTTGAACTGTTGTTGTTTAACGTGCATCAACCAATGATGTTTGTATCTAGGTAGGTTGTCTACATGACACCCTTTGGGTTGCGACCCTTCTTCGAACCGAGAGTGAACACAGAATATTTTATGCACCGGTTGCCCTTTTGTTATTTAACGTGCATGAAAATTTCATAAGAAAGAAGAAGGTAATAACCTTGTGATGATCCACCCCTCCATTAGTAGCAAGAAAAGAAGAAACCAATTGAATGCAGAAAAGAAGACCCAAGATAGAAAGCGTCTTCATTTTACCGTAAAAATTGAAATATGCGAATGAATATGGTGGAAGAAGTAAGCTTTTATTATTAGAGTTTAAGTTATATATATCGTCAAATTTTTACACTATCAGGTCATTTTTACATGTTATATCAGTAATATGGTATGAAGTAATCGCAATTTGACTATAACTTAAACTCCATTATTAGTCATAATTATCAAAAACATAGTTTATGAATTATACTTAAACAGAAAATAGAGCGTTTGACCATTATTTTTATATTAACATTGATAATTTTAAAATCTTAAAATATAGTATATCTTGTGTTATTTTTTATACAGTTGTTAGAACTATTATTCCATATGTCCTAATCTATATATATATATATATATATGAGGGATATGAAAGAGTGATGTGGGATGTCTCAATAGTTAGGAATCATATTTATCTTTTTTCTCCTTTTCTTGAATTTTTCTCCTATTTTAATTTTTACCTCATTAATTAATTGAAAATGCACCTCCCCACTAATTAAGGTTAAGGAAATAACTGTTACACACCAAGTCCTTTAATAACAAAACGTTCACGAATGCAAAACGTCATTAGAGATCGGAAACAAATCGTTCATTTCTACATATAAAAAAAGTCCTTAAATTCACTTGCTATTAAGAAAAAGAAAATTCCCAACCGCCTTCCAATTTTGCATTCTACTTCAAAGTCCTACGGAATCTTTCACAACTTGTTGGAATTACGTGTTAATTTTTTATATTCTTATTTCAATTGTTTTCATTTAACTTTGTGTTGTTTCTTTTGTAAGTAATACTTTCTTCATTTTCAGTGAAATACTTTCTTCGTGATGTCACCGGACATCAATTGTGTGTCTTGAACTTCTCTACAATGAAGTGCTGCTTCGACATGATTTTGGTACATATCTCTTTAAATCTTTCAACTTTTCTAATTTCGCGTTACTTTTGGAGAATACTTGAAGAAATTAGCATATGTAATTTTTCTTTTTATGATGCACATAATGACTGTGATCATATATATAATGGCTGTTAATCTTTTTATGATGCAGAGGAAGGATTTTGAAATTATTGATACCTATTGTTATGTTTCCATTGTTTTTTATATTGTTTTTTGCTATGTGTATATATATATATATTCCTCATTTTTTCATATATTTGCTTTTAAGGATCTGTTTGGAAAGCCACCAGGTAATTGGAATTGGTGTAATTACTAGGGTAGTAATTACACAGCTGTGTAATTACGACGATCTATTTGTTTGTCATAGTGTAATTA